TTATAGTTATGACAGACTCAAGAATAACAAAACTTAGCAGAGCTACACAAACTGTTTGCGCATTGTGACAACTTCAGGTTAACTACAAAGTCCTTACCTGTCCTTGGTAGAGGCCAGCGTCTTGAATGTGCTGTCAGGTTTGTTGAGAGGCTCAAAGGTGTTGCTCATGTACCTGTTCCACAGCCTGGTCTCCTTCTCATCAGGGATGCTGAACAGCTTCCTCATGTCCTTCTCTATCATGTCTGCAGATAAGAAGGTTATGAACCACGTGAAATAATCAGCACATCACATGGCTAATAAAAAAGTTTACTAACACATGCTTACAGAAAGAAAGGAGACTAGCTAATGACTGAATTCATCTATTTTTTTGACTTGCCGTCTGTATAAGTGTGGGGATGTGGTGGCAGATTATTCTTGAGAGAAAATGCTGAAAATCTTTCTTAAAATTGTAAAGGGGTTAATAGAGGTGATAACTACCTTTGTTTGTAAATTACACAAGTATGACGTGATGACTGCACAGAACAGAACTATTAAATGTGTTCAAGAGTTAGTAAGAGAAAGGAATCGTCTTTGAGTGTTTCTAAGTGTACACATTCTCTGTAGGTATCAAAACAGATCACAAACATGGTCATAAATTCATTTTATGATTATTGTCTTCAAAGAAAGGCTTTTACAGTTGTATTCATCCCGAGTAAATTTTTTTATGAGTCAAAGTTGGCATAACAAAAAAAGAAGAGTGCGTTTAGATTATTTGATATTTAGACAAAAATTAGTGAAGAAGTCCAACCAATTTCAAGTCAACTTTGACCTCCTTGGCGCTCACTCAGTTTAAACAGCAGTAGGAAAACATTTTCCACTCTGGCTCAGGCCTACCGATTGTGTCAGCTTTACTGAAGCGTCTGGTGATCACATTGTCCATGTTGCTGTCTTCACAGAGCTTCAGCTCTGTCAGGTACACTTCCACCTTGCAGTGTTTTACAAACATACCCTGTTCTACCACCTGAAAAAGAAATCACAGTAAAAATGGTAAACTGTAGCACATAGTCAATGGATTAATCAATGGGGGGGGGGGGGGGCGCTGGTGGCGCAGTGGTTAGCCCGCCCGGAGGACTATGGCCTCCAAATATGGGGCGTGTGGCTCAGGTTCAAATCCGACCTGTGGCTCCTTTGCCGCAAGTCATTCCTCACTCTCTCTCTCCCTGATCTCCGACTCTATCCACTGTCCTATCTCTCCAATAAACGCACAAAAAAGCCCCAAAAAATAAATCTTAAAAAGAATGAATGAATTGATGACAAATATATCGCATGATCCATGACCAATATATGATGAAAATATGCAGACTGCTATATTCATTTGAACACAGACTTGTGAATTATTAGCAGAAACTTTTACTGACACGCCTAACGTTCTTTCTCACGATGCAAAGGTGGCTTTAATGAGACAGATAATGGCATATTACAACAAACGGTAAATAGACTGAACTTTCTATCAGGCATTTGTAGTCTTCTGAGCCCTCAGAGCTTTACACTACATGCTACATTAATGCCATTAACACCCGATTTGAATACACTGATGCAGAAGCTGCTGTGCCATTATCTCATCTCATTCACACATACTCACACACCCAATGGCTTGCCCGAGAAATGTTTAGGTTCAGGATCTAACTTCAAGGAGGACACTTCAACATGTGCACTGAAGCAGCATTAGATTGAACCATGAATGGAGACCCGATTTATCTCCTGCGCAATGTTTAACATCCCTCATGATGAAAAGAAATGAACTTCACTTCACAGCTATATAATTAACTATGTGTCATATTGGCTAACTGCACCAAGTCAGAGCGTGAAACATTGAAACATTGTGTAGCAACAAGAACATGATAATCCAAAACGCAAGACTCACTGGGCTCAAAACCAAAGGTAATCTCTGCTGTCAGTATAGCTGATGAAAATTCGAGTATTTTGCAATTTTAAAAGCTAAAAAATGTCAGGTACATTTTAGGGTTGTACTAGCTTTTGTTTCTCGTGGCGAACAAAGTACAGCCTGCTGGCTTTGCCACTCAAGCGGTGTCCTGATAGCAGCAGAGTCAAAGTGAAGTGCCTAAATTAGCAGCACCTCGTGGAAACAGCTGAGGGGTCCAAGCCTATTTATTTCACCGTTGAGCCCCTCCGACACACACACACGGCTATGCACACAGTACCAACTTCCCAAATCTCCAGCCATGCACTCACCGCTCAGAACTTCCCTACCCCATACCCAGACACGCAGGTGGGCGCACCCTACCCCTCAGCAGAACACCCATGTGTTTGTAAACTCAGCGCAAAAGCCCAACTCGTCGCCAAACTCTGACAGAATTTCTCAAATGAGAGCCGAGCCAAAAACCATATACCCCACCCCCCCTTCCTCCTCCTCCTCCTCCTCCTCCTCCCATACTGGTTATGCCTGTTGCACTCCTCTCAGAAGTTTCTACGCTGCTTCTCTGAGAGTGACCTCAGCCAGCATTCCTATACAAAAAAACAAGGACACCCAGCAACACTCCGCCGGTGTTGGGAATCAGATCAGAAGAGGACAACGGAAGGAAACATATCACCAAACCTGAGTCTTCAATCCTCTTAAATCCCTTTTAAAACTCTAAACCCACAAAAGGAACAAAGGCTTAAAAAAAATAGAAAAACAAATCATGAACCTCCTTCATGTTGTGTCTCTCAGATCGCTCCATGTAGCTTTTCAGTCATCCAGACCGTTGCCTGAAAATAGAAACCCTGCAGCCACCCGATATGTCCCACGACATACATGGCAAAATGGGAGGGTCATTGGAGGGGGGCAGAAAGAAAGAGAGAGAGAATGATAGAAGAACCTCTGCTAGCAGCCATGATGCCATGACTAGCGAGATTTGAAGTGGGGATTTGATACTTTGGGTCTTGTGTAATTGTAGCTGCCGTCATAAAAGTATTCCACTGCCTTATTAACAGTAAGCGCGCACACACAACAATTCAGTTGTAATGTCCACTTTACCAAAATGTATCTGATTGTTTGTTTTACCTTAAGATGAATTATCACATTTCTTGGCAGAAATTCATGAAATGCTGAAGGAAAAGAATATAAGACATCATCTAAACAAAACCCTTCCCTTTCTTTTAATCCTCATGCCTGTGTTTCTTTTTACATTTCACTTGTTATTCGAGTCAACAAATCTATGACGACTGAAGCATTTCTTGTGTTAACACAAAAGCTTACAGTACTCAATTTCAAAATCAATGCTGTCCCTACGCTCTCTACATTTATATTTAATTGTATATGTCTTTACTATTTCATGCTGATTAACACTGTCCACGTTTCTCCGCATTCCTGAAGTCAATTGGCTGTATTAGCACACGTTCTTCTCACTCTGCCAAGCCGCAGAAATAAAAGCTTCCAATAATCCACACTTCACAACAAAGCTACTTACAACAACCATCCTTTTATAGTAGCTTTGGTCATGCAAGTCAGCAGAATACTCTCAATCCGTTACATCCAATCATAGTATTTTGCTCATAACTGAATCCTTACCTTGCGCGCAATTGGCTCCTGACCCTCTGTCAATCCATACCAGCTGACAAGCTTATTCCAGCCCTCTGTTGGGACCAGGATGTAGTCCAGCTCATCGATGAGGTGTTCCTTGATTGCCAGCACATCCCCATCTAGAGGTACAGAAGGGGGTGAGAGAAAGGGTGAGAAACAAGCTGGCAGACAAGAGGGAGAGAAAGCACTTTGTGCACTAACTGTCTCACACTACACAAAGTAAAAAAAAAAAGGTATGCTGGAGAGCTTTCTGCCAACCAAACAAAAAGCTACTCTATGGAGTCAGTCAACAATATTGTTTTTGTTCCCCTTTTCCTCTGAACTCTTTGTTTCTACTTCCAGAATGAGACGCTTTTCTGACCAGGGGTCTGTGGTGTGGTTAAAGGCAACACGGTCTATCTAATCCTACTGTGTGTTAAGATCTGAGGAGGTGAAATATCATATTTCATACATTTATTTTTTTTCATATTTCATTTATTTATTTGCTCAATTCAGTGTATGGTTTCAACACCATAATACACAACAAAAAATATTTTCTCATAATGCTGAAACACTGTTCATGAGCAAACAGGAGCAGGAAGAAGAAAACTTATAATACCTGCCCCCGTTTTCCTAATAACACAAGAAACTGTTTAACACAATAAGACGGCTATAACCTGTTGTTTTCGCTTTCTCTTTCACAAAACAAAAAAATAGATCAAAAATGTAGAAACAACCAAATACAATCAGTTAGATTAACTCAACACATTCATAATTTCCCAGAACCTTTTTCTTTACACATTCTTCTACATTGAATGATACTTGAGCAGCATTTTTAAATGATTATCGAGAGAATTCCACAATTTAACTCCATTTACTGAGATACACGTTTGTTTTCTAGGCCTGAGGAGGTGAAATATCAACGAGTCTTACCTCTGAGAAGACCAGAGTTATCAACCGGTCCTGGGTAGACATTCTGGTCACCCATCTGGTACTTGTCCCAGCTGTCATATCCCACATATTTCTTCCACTGTTTGAACCAGTGACTGTCCACCAGGTACCTGCAGAGAAAGCAAGCAGCAACATGTCGGTCTGTTCAAGCATCATGACACACAACTTATCAGAAATGAAACCGTCCAAGGGTCATGGAGCAACAACAAAAAAAAAAAGGGTGTGAACCAAAAGTTTATATACGCAGGTGAATGCTAACGTTATCTTGCTGTCAGTACCCTCGACAAAATCAGATTTTTTAAGGGCTTATACGACACAGATTGGAGGTTGTTACAGCCGCACTCCAGTTCAGGTTGCTGCATGCTTTGCCAGCTGGCTCTGTGATTTTGACAGGTGCCTCTTTTTCCGACTCCGCCCTGCCGAAGTCGACGGATGAACCCACTGAAGGCTAGCCACTTAGCTACCAGCCAGCTAACCAGATCAGTCCCCTTGCGAAATGCGCTCTCATTGTGACATTATGACATCGGATGAAAGAGAGAGGCGCTAGTTTAGAGAATACAACATTCAAAATGAAAGAAATGCGGTGATTATAGTTGTTCTTTGACAGCTTGGTTGCTAACAGTAGCTCAAACACCGCTAGCCTGCCGAGCTGACACACATGAAGCTGACAGGTTCCCGTGAGCTAGCTCAGAGCTAAGTGTCAACACGGCCCCGTCACTTCGGCTTTCCGATCCCTAAAGGCGGTGACAGCCTCCGCGGAGCCCGCCGACGGCCACGCAGCGTTACGCGAAAAGGTTTCGGCTAGTGTCTCACCAGGTGTCTCCCTTTCTCAGCTGTGTTTTCAGCAGCGCCGCGACCTCTCCTCTCTGGGTATCCAGATCAGCCGCTCCTCCTTCCGCCATCTTTCCACAGACATCACCCCGCTGCATGGTGGGAAAGTTCGGGGCGTCACCGAGGCACGCAGAAAAGTGACGCTGTCTGTGTGAACCAATCATTTGGCTCGCCGACAGCACGAGAGAAAGCAAGACACCCAGTGGCAGAAAAAAAAGTCTAGAAAGATTGTTCAAAACTGCTCCATCATTGTGCCTGCGTACACTTATTCTTATTATATGATTATATTAGTCTATATTATATAACATTTCATTATATTACACTATATTGTTCATATTGCACTATATTTTATCTCATAATTATGACTTTATTTTCTCATAATTTCAACTTTTTATCTCATAATTTCAATTTTTTATCTCATTATTATGACTTTATTATCTCATAATTTCAACTTTTTATCTCATTATTATGACTTTATTATCTCATTATTTTGACTTTATATCTCATTATTTTGACTTTATATCTCATTATTATGACTTTATTATCTCATAATTTCAACTTTTTATCTCATTATTTTGACTTTATATCTCATTATTTTGACTTTATATCTCATAATTTTGACTTTATATCTCATTATTTTGACTTTATTTTCTCATTATTATGACTTTATCTCATTATTTTGACTTTATATCTTATTATTTTGACTTTATATCTCATAATTTTGACTTTATATCTCATTATTTTGACTTTATTTTCTCATTATTATGACTTTATCTCATTATTTTGACTTTATATCTCATAATTTCAACTTCAAAGGTTGAAGGGTTACTCCACTGCTGCAAAAAATAAGATACAGTGAAACGGATATATAGAGTCGTTTAGTCACTAAAATTCCCATGATGCACCAATGTGTTTTCATCCAGACTTTATAAATCTCCCTCCAGAGAAATACAATTACAGTTAAACAGCATTGCTAAGCACTGGACGAATGAAAGTCAAATGAAATTTTCCATGTTTATTTAAAAACACATTCACAAGATTCAAATTTCTTTGTACAGTCATGTTTTTTTACAGTAGAAAATATGAAATTACAATGTATATGTCAGCTATTGTAGTGCTACAGCATTAGAATTTTACTGACAACTCATATCTTTTCATTACACAGATCATTGGCTAAAAAAAAATACATTGAAAGTCTTTGTATTTATTGACAATAAAATAAGGGAACATTTCCCCAATCAGTAATGAAGATATATGATACAATGGTGACTAAAAAAGTCATAGCACACTTTTAAATGGTAACAAATGTTAAACCTGTTTACCCATTTTACTCCCAAACTGATATTTGCACAAAACATATCCTTACTAAGAAAAAAACAGGATGTAGCTTCAAACTTTTGTCTGAACCTGTGTCTGTCTCTTGAATGCCCTCATCCAGAGTTACATTATAAAAAGGTTACACTTTCTCAGAACAAAGCTGTTAAAAGGCTGACCATGATGGCCGATGTTTTTATTGTTTTTAAGGAAAATACCCTTTGTCCCTGAAAAAATACATGTGTGTTCCTTAAAACTTCTAAGTAATCCAAAAAGATGAACAATGAAGGGAGTTTAGATTTCTTGTCTTTATCCTCCTCTCATCATTTTACTGCCATCCCTGAAGTGCACGTCATGTGTGGCAAAACCCAACACACAGTAGGCCCTTTGTCTCCTGAATACCTCTTGTCTTTATTACAGATTATGTGACACTTTGTTGTTTCTTTGCCTGCTGTCTATGTGATGGGGCAAGTGTGCAGCAAGTCAACAATGGAAACCCCCCAGACAAAAACAAGTCTTTTCCATACACATCATCGCTGGAGCCTCATAAGTTGGAGTCTTTCTCTGACACAGGATAGTAGCCGTTTCTATTCAGGGGCTCTACTTCAGGAGTGAAGATGGCCAGTGACCTCTCCTGCTCCCTTTTGGTTTTGGGTAAGCTGTCAGAGGGTGTGGTGAGCAGCTGGATGCGCTGTGAAAAGATAAACCAGTGTCATTATCGATTATTGAATTGATTCCCTGATGGGATGTGTTCAAGTTGAGACCAGTTTCAGAAGGGTTTGGGACACAGCACAGTTTATTTAAGAGCAAAATGGGAGGACAAATCCTATGAATCAGTACTCAAAACAGCCTAAAGGCCACAATACGTTCTGTTAGGATCAACATTTACCTCTCTGAGAGTCCCCTGGGTGGTGCTGAGTTTGTACAACATCCAAAGCGGGATGCAGATCATGGAGGAGAGAGCAAGCAGCCAGCCAATGACGTAGCCCCACCACGGGTACACATACTCATTATTATACTTCAGGGGAGTATATTTGATAAGGGAGAATGCAAATGTAGCCTGGAGAGACAGGAAGAATGAAATGACTTGTATTGTTAAGAATGAATCTGCTCAGCTGTTGTCATTGTTTGAAAGCTTTGACTCTTCTGAATTAGTTACTTACAACGCATGTCGCTGGGGTCAAAAACATCCAACAGTACTTGATATACGGTCCAGGTCGGTAACCAATCATGTCCTCAATGTTATCATAAAAGCGATCAGCACCTGGAAGGAAACAGGGGAGAAAAAACATTTCTCTGCACGATGTGTCTCAAAAAGCTGCAGAAATAGAAATGTCTCTCTATGATTCAGATTAAATCTGCAAAATGATGAAATATTTTGAATTTCCAAGTATAACATGTATCTCTCATCTTAGTGAATTAAGGTGTTTTATGTGAGAGGACTCTTACCATAGACCCATGCAATGCAGACAGTCTCAAAGATGGCCATGAAGAGAAGACACATGCCACTGGCAGCATAGTAATCAAAGAGCTGGAAGACATACATGCCCCCCTACAAAGAGAGAGAGCGATCAAAAGGACTTAGTCGTATTAAGACTTATCAACCTGCCTGATTCATGACCTGATCTACAAGCTGACAGTTAATTCAACTCAAATTAGTTCAATTTTGAGCTTTACGTGTTAAGAATCTACCCGCAACACAAAACCAGAGAGAAACCGAAAACAAAGAATTATAAAGAGCAAATAAAGCGAACTCCTTTGTTCGTGTGAAGATGTAAATAATAAGCTTAACTTTATCTACTCCATGTTGGAAAAACATTTTGAGTCTGTATGTGATAAACAAAACTTTGACTTAGTGTTGTGTAACTTGGAAGTGCTGGAAAAAAATATATCCAGTGTAAGGAAATCTCTGAGGTGCATATATTCACAGATGTCAAAATGTCATTTGAATGCTAGGAACTCTACTTATTATAAATAACTACACGTCTTACTGGGCCAGAACACATCTTTTATAAAAGAAATTCTGAAGCTCATCACAAGGGACTCCAGGTGTGGGTTGGGTTACTTGGGTGACTTTAGCTCAAGAGGGGTTGCATAGCAACACTTGAGACTCACCTGAAACATGTTGCATAAAACCTTTAAGTTGCTTGGACTTACAAAATGATGACTTGTCGACACCTCTGCAGAGCATTCATGTTTCCAGCTGTGAGGTGAAACTTTGTCAACCATGTTGGACTTTGCAAATGTTTTTATTTCACTAGAGCAAAGCATCTAAACTACCAGATGCAACCACCAAAAGAAAACCTGTCTTGACTGTATATGTGTAAATTCAGATAACAAATGATGTCTCTCTAAAGAAAATAAAATGAGGGGGAATCATCTTAGGTAATACATCTTAATACACTATCTAGTAAAAATGATGTCATCCAAGGGAAATGATATTGCAGGTGTGTGTGTGTGCATTTGTTTGTGTAGTTTGCATCTGTGTTCTTGTGACCCCTACCTCCATCAGCATGATGAGGCCCATCAAGAAAGAGACGAAGCTGACCCCTAACAGGAAGAGCTCCCTACGGTTTTTACGTCGGAACACAGCAGGGTACATGTCGACTATCGCTGTCACAAGGCTCTCGACGCACACAAACTGCGAAGAAGGAGGGAGGGCGGGGACGAGAAGTGAAGAGGAGGAGAGAGGTAACCAGAAAAAAATCATGAAAATCTGTCTCCAGACAAAACCAGGTTTCTTCAATGGGAAATGTAACGGTGAAAATTGTGTCAGTGTTAATAAACTTGACGTAAGGAGGGAATTTCTACCTGACTGTCCAACCCAAGGAAAACAATCATGATGAAGAAGAGCGCGGCCCACAGAGGAGAGAAAGGCATCATGGATACAGCACGGGGGTACGCTATGAAGGCCAGACCAGGACCTACAGCAACAAGTAAAACAATGTAAACTGGTCATAGAAATACTGAGCAGGGGGATTCCATGAACATATTCTTCTATTTTTCTGTGACTGATCCTTCTGCTGAGATGAAGCCTCACCAGATTCTGCCACTTCTGAGATGGGAACATTCTGCTCGTAGGCCATGAAACCCAGGATGGAGAAGATTGCAAAGCCAGCCACAAAACTGGTGCCGCTGTTCAGACAGCACAGAGACAGACAATCCCTGCAAAAGAAAGCACATGGAAGATATTAATATCAAGAGAATTTGCATTATTTTGAATGAAATTCAAACTGCTTATTTGTTCATTTTTAAAACTGGTTTTAAGTAGAACGCTTGCAGACCTGTAGCAGTTATTGTTGTACTTGTTGTAGCTTCCCAGAGCAGTCAGCGACCCCAAACAGATAGCATAAGAGAAGAAGATCTGCGTGCCGGCATCCATCCACACCTTACATAACAGAGAAAACAAGCAAAAACAATCAGCCGCTAAAACTAAAGTGATGGTACAATATATGTAATCGACATGCTGATTATATACACAAACGTGCCACGCTGTGTTTAGACTAGCCAAAGGAATACATGTGCCGGGGACTGGTTTGCATAATCAGTGACTTATGTAATTGCACAATAGTGTGAATTATTTGTTGAAGTTGATCATTAGTCATGTTCTAAACACTCATTCTCAAACAGAAAAACACAGAGGGCATGATCTGTGATGGGTTACATAACCGGATAAACAATAGTGACAAGTAAAAACTACAAAATAAGAACCTGTAAAAAAAAAAAAAGCAAAAGAAATGATGGGGAAAGCAGAAATCAGGCTCTGGGAATAGAACAAGTGTGAGCCCTTTGAGGAGCCATGTTGGAGATGTTTAAAAAAAAAGCACATTGGAATATACGTTTCGTGAGTATGTTTGGTTAGTCGTATGGCATAACTGATAAATGACTGAAAATTAGAATGAGATTACCAAGCGTTAAAAAAACTGGAAAAGTCTTTTTTAGTTTTAGACTCTGTGGCTCCGTTGTGGTAGATCTCATGTTTACAGTCTCAGTGGTGTCGTGGCCCTGTATTTGACCCCTGCAGTCCCTGTCTCTTTCATGGAGAGCAGATGGACCCAGCAGCAACTAGACTCCCAAGCAGAGAACCATGGGATACCAGCACCTGGTGCACCCTTGCCCAAACGGGGACCACTTCACTAAATCATCTCAAATTGTGCTTTCATTGTCAAGGTGACCCAAGGCTGTTTTTTTTATTTTTTTTTTTATGGGGGTTGTTACCTGTGGGTCGGCAAGTCGTCCCAGGTCTGGGTAAAGGTAGAACTTGATGCCGATCGCAGCCCCAGGTAGGGTGAGCCCTCTGATCAACAGCACTATCAGCATTATATAGGGGAAGGTTGCAGTGAAGTAGACCACCTATGTAGACACACACACACACACACACACACACACAGAAGTTAAATATACAAACAAGTAACATGCCATCTAGAAGAAATAAATACCAGATGTGTTCCTTTATGGTTAAGCAAAATAAACAGATCAAAAACAGTGACCTGGCATCTTCATGGAGGTCCTTCTCACCCACCTTTCCCGTTGATTTCGTCCCCTTCCAGATGCAGAAGTAGCACATGACCCAGGCTATGAACAGACAAAGGGCCAGGTCCCAGTTCAGAGATCCCATGTGGTCAATGCCCGGGGAAATCCTCAGCGCTCGTCTCCTACAGAGACAATAAAGAAACTCAGTGTTCAAACAAAGTGTTGTCATTTCCATTTCGAATATATGTAAAGAAGAGGAGGTTTGGGGGGTGGGGGGGTTTTAAATACTCACTCCCAGAACTCCATGACAGGAGAGGTGGCATTTAGGTTGATTGTTTGGTTGAATGAGGTGTTTCTCCTCTGGAACTCCACACAATTTTCTGCGCGGAAAAAGAACCACAATGTCTTTTTGGTTCTTTATTTTTTAAAAATGAAACAAACTTTTCATGCACCGCACTTACGAACACATTATGTTACCTGTGTTCCATGTGTTGTTGCAGGAGGACCAGGCCAGGTCCCAGGAGAAGGAGAAAGACAGGTAGAAAATCCCCCAGGCCAGAACGATGATGTAGTAGAAGTTCAACAGAGTCACTATCACCTGTGTGCCATAGCCAAGCCCTGCAGAATAAGCGCACATGTCATTAATGATGAATAGAAAGAAACAATTCTCATGTACACTGTTTTGTAAATGAAAACATGTTTTGTCATCACAAAAAGTTGCTTTTCGTTTCCCCCGACCCGACCTACCTTCAAACAAGGGGCTGATCTTCCTCCAGCAGGTGACGCCTCCCTCGCTGGTGTACTGGCCCAGTGCCGTCTCCAGGAAGAATACAGGAACGCCACAGGTGAACAGGAAGATCATGTAGGGGATGAGGAATGCACCTGAGTCAAAGACATCCAACAGATTCAAGGTTGGGGACCATTTAAACATGATACTACAGAAAAATGCTGAAAATGGTGGACCATCTCTGTCTGTCTGGCTGGCTGCAGTCTTTTGCCTCTATCAGTGTTTGCAATGCATGATGATGGAAGCCTGGCCAAGCATGCATTTGCAAAAAAAAAAATCTTCCACTGATATATTAAAAGCTTCCAATCCATCTGACTGGTGTGTCTTTGATGGGAAATCTGAACATTTAGAGAAGACCATTCAGCTAAACCCTTCACACAGCAAATGGCTCTCTTGTGAGGCTCGCACACTGCAGCGCTCTAATACTCCAGAAGTGTATTTTCACCAGGGTGCTTGTGCAGTTAGCAAACAAATCCAGACTGCAGCTACAGAAAGGACAAAGTCACAAGAAGCTCCCTGCATGTGGAATATCTTGCAGACAACTAAAAACTATCTGGTCCAGGTCTAAAACTCACAGAATAATGAATGACACTTCTATGCTTGTTTTCCTGTCTCCAACTATCATATAGAAAAAAACTGCACTAAGGCTGTATTCTAAATCTTGATGAAAAGGGCTCAAAGGTATGAGGTGCGTTAACACAAAATAAATAAATATTCTTTTTTTTTTTTTTTTTCAGTTTTGGCCACTTAAGGCCCGAGCCACTGCCACTCTCTTTTGCCTTTTTTTTTTTTTTTTCGTCTGGTCGCCATCCCCATCGGGTGGCCCGGGATGTTTGACCCACTCAGATTTCCGCCTCTCTGCCGGGACAGCTGCTGTGAGCAAGGAGCAACAACAGCTGCCTGACCCCGCTCGATCCCGGACCCCTGACCCTGCTGCCCCACAGAGGGAGGAAGAGGGGTCTCTAATTTAGCAGCTACACAAGCATGCCTGACAGCTAATGAGGGGAGAAATGATTTGTCTGTTTTTAGTTAAATTGTGAGTCCTTGGAATTGTATTTCTTTTACCTGAGCTCAAGTGTCCCTGAGAGAAACCTGTGCTCTGTCATTGACTTTTTTTTTCTTCTTCTTTCCTTTGATTCCTCAGGGTTTTAATGAATTAAAAATACTGCATGGTTGAATGTATAAATGTACTAGAACAGCTCTGAATTCTTTAAGTCTGGCTTACAAGTAAACTACGCACATGGCTTATGCAAATCTGTGTTTGAAAGGTTTCGGTCCGTCTGTCATTGCTGACATTGATTTATAAATCCGCATAGGACCAACCATGAATGTCTTCAGCGTCAGTCTAATACTCCACTCACCTCCTCCGTTCTTGTAGCAGAGATAAGGGAAGCGCCACATGTTTCCCAGGCCGATGATGGAGCCGGCGACTGACAAAATGAACTCCACCTTGTTCCCCCACTGGCCCCGCTCCTCCATCTTCTCCTCCGAGGTGGGCAGAAGGTCCTTTGCTTGTCTGGTGCCATTCGGGAGGCCTGCTTTGGCAGCGTCTCCTGCAAAACAGACAGGAGAGGCAAGATGCAGAGGCTGCTTAGAATTGTAATAAATGATGCCCTTAAGCAGTAAGGAAACAGTGGGAAGATGTTTTTCCACGATGCTTGTATAAAATTTGAATGTTTAATATTGTAAAGATAAACAAACATGCATGCTCAATCCATCTAAAAACACAAATTTAAAGACACATTTGAAGCTCTGTTTGCATTTCAGTAAGTTGCAATGAATCCTTATCCTAAGCCTAAACAAAGAAGGTTTTAAAATATTAAAAGAACAGAAAATAGTCATAATTGCCAATCTCCATAAACAGGAATTGAAATGATGTTTATAGCTCACCTTTCATTGCAGTGTCACTCTGATCTCCTGTGTATAACTCTCGTCTCTAGGCAGACCAAGTATCTGCAGATTTCTCACTAAATGCTCAAGTTTTAGTATTTAACATGACAAGAGTGAGGGGCGGGGGTTTGTAATGCTAAACTTAGGCCAGCCTCCACTTTCCAGTCCAAAATGCAGCAGCTAGGCTTCTTACTGGTTGTGACAGACGACATCACATCACTCCAATTTTAGCTTCATTACATTGGCTTCCTGTAAGTTTTAGAATCGATTTTAAGATTTTGCTCATTACTTTTAAAGCACGGACGCTCCAAGCTATATAACAGAGCTACTGACACAGTATGAGCCAGCCTGCAGTCTTAGATCCTCAGGTAGGGGGCCTCCTGGTCGTTCCAATGTCAAGACTTAAAACTAAAGGTGACCAGGCCTTTTCAGTCAAGGCCCCTGGACTTTGGAACGACCTCCCTGAGGAGATAAGACTTGCAGATTCCCCCAATTCTTTTAAATCCCTTCTTAAAACGTACTTTTACAGACTTCTGATGTCGTCTTCTTCATGTCTTTTCTTACTAGTTTTACTATTTTTATCTTCTTTTACTTCTTACTGTCCTTTGATTTATGCTCTTTATTTATGCTCTAATCTTAAATCCTCTTATGTTTTAACTTTGTAATTTCTTATCTTACTTTGTCTATTTATGTTTCATATTTATATTTACTTTTTATTTTTATTAATATTATAGTTTTTGTTTATCCTTTAACCACTTGTTTCTATTTATTTTACTGCTCTTACCTTCTTATTGCTGTTATCTTTTTATTTGCTTTTAGCTCTTTTAGTTTCTTACATCTTTTTAAATCTTTGCTCCTCTTGGTCTCAGCTCGTGTTGTTGGGTTCTTGTGTTGCCTGGGTTCTTATGATGCTTCTTGTGAACGTCGGGTTATATATGTCTGTTGGGTATCGTGCACTTTTGGTTCTTTTCTGTTGAATTTTATTTAATTATTTTTTATATTTTGCATTTGTTATGTTCTTGCTGTTGTTTATGTTCTTCTGTGTTTGGTTTAGTTTGTTCTTGTTTTTGCTGTTTGTCAAAGCACTTTGTAAACCTGTGTTTTTAAAAGGTGCTGTATAAATAAAGTTATCATAATTATTATTACTTTCTTTCTCTCCCTCCATTTGAGCAAAGTACATCACCTGCCCTGACTCACCCATTTAAATGAGGTGCAGCAGAGAAGTGGAACAGGCTGACAGTATGTGATCAGTGAATCTGGTGCAGTGGACAGTAAATGATGTATTTGAAATGTGTCTCCCATTAAGGATGGCATGGGCAGATTTACAATATTCTCAATTTGATGAAGTAAAAAGCTTCCTTACAATACATTTTGGGTTTTAATGTCTTTGAAGCAATGCAGCATGTCCTGATTTTATGTCTAAGGTAAAAAAAAAAAAAGGCCAAGGTATAAATCAGAACAAAGAAAGTCTACACTTTTACGTTAACATGATTTATGACAGCCTGAGAGGATTATGGCAGCAGGGAAATTGTGAAAATCAGAGGAATCAGAGTATGCAAACACCGACGAAAATCTGCTAAATAACTCTAACAAAGACATACATGTGCATCAGGTTGCTGCTTTTACTTCTCTGTATGGTCACCTAGCAGAGGAACTAATGGTGAGAGGAAGCCTGCACAGTCTGTTTTCTGTTGGAAAAAAATCACAGAGAACAAAAGCAGAGAAACAATCTACTATAGATCTGATTTTGAAAAGTTTGTTCAACTACTAAATATTTGAGAGTCCCTGTTGTATCGGCATAATAAGACAACTGAGCAGATGTTATATAATGGATTATTACAGTTCATTTTGTAAATGTTTTGCACCCCCCCCCCTTGTGATCACATATTTCTACCTCTGACTGTCGTGGTGACAGAGGTGAGGCACAAAAGCGGCTAAGGTCAGATCGCTCCGGATTTGACTCGGCTGAGTAAGAAGTGGACATCAGCACACACACACACTGCCCCAGCGCCCTCCCACAATCCTACCCTCCGCTCTCTCCTTAGCGATTGAGTCATGTTTCCAGAAAAGCAGATATTCTTGTATAATTACAGTCAAATTGTTGCTTTTCATCCCAACAAGAAAACTGGGAGGCTATGTCAAAAAAATGTAAATAAGGATGCCCAAATGAAAAATAAAAAAATTGGTTAATGTGTTAATTATTACAAACATTTTGTGCAATGCAGCAGTATTTGCAGCCTTATTACCGAGCGCTCCCCCATGCAAGTCCTCATACCAGACTTGCACAACATGCCTCCACATCTCTCCTCTAATTGAGCTTAATGAGTGAGACAGGAAATGAGAAGCTTAACTTGCCACTTATAATCAGCTTCTTTCAGGATGATTGGGGGGGTCAAATTTTGACATTACAGTCATGTAAAATACACAAAAGCAACTTTTTTTTTTTTTTTTTGCATTTGAAACATTCATAATTCAGCAAAACTTCAGTAAGTTTGCAAGAATATGTTGGTCTGGTTACACGTGTGAGCTAAAGAACAAATAAATGTCATTCTTTTATGAAAAATGAATCAAAAATACTTAAGACAAAGCAAATAGCCCCCCCCCCCAAAAAAAAAAAGAAATAAAAAGAGCGGTAACACATAAAGAAAAGACGCCAGACTTTACAATCATTTGACTAGGAATAGTTTATTAAAGGTGAGAAAAAAAAGCCACAATCCATTTCTTTTAATTGCTTAAAAGTATGTACATTATAAATAATTCCACTACATTACAGCCATTTGTATTTCCTAGTCTGGACTCCTACATATTGACTTGTTACTGTCTGCAGTGCTGGGGAGAGAGATGGGCGAGATGAGAGCGGCTCAGGATGTCCATTTATGACACAACAGGGATGACACGTCTGTTTATCTACCTGTTTGCACTGAACACAACAGCTGGACTAAGAGGGTGTTTGTTTGACTATAAGTAAGTGTACCATGACTTGTTTATTGTTCAGGGGGTGGACCAGGAAGTGGCAGGTGAATGTTTTGCCCTGAGACTGTTTGCAGCAGGACTTCACTTTGTCTGTGTAATCAGAACCATGTCAATGTATGGCAGTGCTCGGGGAGGAAGGGTGTCATTTCTGAAGCCACACGGTGACAGTAGGACTCTCGTCTTCTCCGTCTCCTGCATACAAATTCTCTTTTACTCTTTCTGCTTGTGCTCTTAAATCCGAAGGTCGTGTTATTTGTCTCTCCTTCAGGGCTCGTTTAAAAAAAAGGTTGCTTTATCCCTTTCTGACCCCCCCCCAGAGGCTGTAGAGTCAGTTTGGGAGGTTAGAGCTCTAGCCTGGAGTCTAGGTTTTGTGGGATGCTCATTATATGAGGTACAGTATTCAATCTCAGTCCTAGGCATTGTTTTTTTTGTTTTTTTTTAGTGCTAACTGCCCGGCTGAGGCTCCTGCTGATGAGTCATTGCTGGGTTAAGATGAGCAGAGGAGGACCACGAGGTCACGACAGACCCCGGAAGAAGACTCTGCGCGCCCCCGCCGCACATCGACGTCGCCATCACCACGACGCTCTCCTCGGTCGCCACCACCTCCTCCACGGTCATCCCTACGCCGCCCACGCTGACCCCGGCGGCCTTCCGGGAGCAGTCCATGCAGATGTAGTCCTCGCTCTCGGCCATTTCGCAGGACACGCCCACGCACACCTGGTGGAACCACTCGTCGCAGCCGCCGTCGCACTGCACCCAGTCCACCTGGAGACACAACACCGGCAGACATGTGAGCGAGGGGTTTAGAGGATCAACGACACGGAAATACTAAAGCAATTAAGAGAAGAAAAACATGTGGCAGCTAAAGAAAACACAGGATTTTGTGTAATTTTTAACAGGTCACATGAAAGCTGCAAGTCAGTCATTGTTTGATTGATGGAATGTGAAAACAGAGCCACGTGGTTCCAAAACAAGGATGGACTGTAATGCCCTTTGATATGTTTTACACACCACTAACAACTGTATGCTCAATTCCTGTCGGGTAACAAACACTGGGCCACGTCTAAAAGGCCCTCTGCTCCTCTTGATCTGCAGCTACTTTTGGATTTGTGTAGATTTCATGAAGAAAATCAACATGACTGCCAAATCAATCTTCTTCATTTAAAGAGGCTCATGTTTTTTTTTTATAACTAACTAAACGGACTTGGGCTTGTATAGCTCTTTTTTTTTTTAGTCTTCTGACAACCTAAAGTGCTTTTTACAGCGCAGGTCACACCTTCCCATTCACACACTGACGGAGAGGTTTCTGTGTAAAGTGGCCATCAGATGGAACTTATCCCATTCATGCACATTTAGACTCCGCTGACAAAGCAGTGGGAGCAAATTGGGGTTAAGGGCGCACTCAAACTAGCAAAGTACCGTGCTTAAGCAATGTTTGAGAACTGCATTTGAGAGATCAAGCAAAACATGTGTATATCTATATATCTATATATATATGCATCAATCTCTACAGATTGAACATATATAGAGCCATTCATACCTTAAATGCCTGCTAAATCTGGCATGTGCTAAACATCAGTATCAGATTTTTTTTCTCTCCCAATATCAATATCGTCTCCAAAAATCCCATATCGGTCAGGCCCTATTATATAACAGTGTTTCTCCTAGGTTTAAAGCGTTTGGGGGGGTGGGGACAAGCCGACAAGGCGACAGAAGCACTTGAAGGAATCTTGGTGTACTTTAATGACAGCTGTCCTTTTCTATCGGAAAGGTAACCTTAAATGACTTCTTTCCCTGATTTCTGACTCTATCCACTATCCTATCCCTACAGTAAAGGCCCAAAAAGCCCAAAAATAAATCTTTAAAAACTTGACCTTCGGGGGGGTGGGGGGGCGTGCTGCCCCCCTTATATAATGGTAGGGGAACCATTGTATAATCTTCCTTTTATTGCAAAATCAATTCAGACTTTTTGGGCTGGTTCATTGCAAGTGCTCATATCAGGATAGCGATGAAAATGTGATTAATTGTCACTCCGGTATCCCTAGCTGGGACTCAACCAAGCATGAAAAGGGTCTATCAAAGGGTTA